ACAAAATATCTCCAACTTGGTAATCCAGGTAGAAAAATCAAAAAGAAAATAATAAGTAGGTCCTCTGGACGGGTTCTTTTTTAATGAATAATAAATAATTCATTAAAGAAGAACTCGTCCAGGAGACCTGCTTATTTAATTTGCAACATATCCCAACTTTTTCATTTGTCAGAATCTAGACAAATTTGGGAATTTGAGACTTAAAATGGCAAAAATGTAGAGAAACGATAAGAGCTATAAAAGGAGGAGGCTTAAATTAAATAAACAAGGTTATAAGAAAGGGCACAAGGCCTCCATCCTGCATGGTTTAGAGGTTTCTCTGCAACAACACACTTGATTTGAATAAATGATTAACAGGCTTCTCACTGAAACAGCTGTGTTGGAACAGGGAAACAAGTAGAACATGCAGGATAGCAGCCCTCAACCAGGATTGGATTCCTCTGTTTTATACCCTCATCTACCTTTACTGCTACCTTTACTGAGCCAATAACACAACAACAATGTTCAAAAGTGTGAGAAAGTTGGTAAAAAAAAAAGTTTATGTCAGTTAAGAACCCTATGTTCTAAGCATACAAGGTTACACAGTGACACAATGTTTACACAAGGCTGAGAGATGGAAAAAGAAAAGTCAATTTTATATCAGTGGATCTCAGTATTCATGTCTTTCTCACGCTGTCAGCTTCTTGGTTTCCATTTCCAGCTGGATTTTCATTCCTCTCCTTAGTAACACAAGATATTCGAACACAAATGGTAAAAAGTTCTCGATTGGACCAATCAAAGCTCTGAAACCTCTCTAATTTTATTTTTTATCACTTCAAAAGTTTGCAAACACATTTTAAGTGAGTTAGTATTTAAAACAAGTCAAGGCAGATGGCTGCCCTTCCTGAGCCTGGTTCTGGTTCTGCTGGAGGTTTCTTCCTGTTAAAAAGGAGTCATTCCTTTCCACTGTCGCCAACCTGTTCAGGATGGAAGATCGCCACTAAAAGAAGTTTCAAAGCAATTTGTTGGCTTGCTTAGACAGATAACTTTTACTAACTGGCATTTTATAATGTATGTAGATATTTTTGTACACACTGTGGTGACTTTAGTTGTGAATTAGAGCTATATAAAAATGAACTGACRTTAATACAAACAACCAGAAGCAGCATAAAGACAGAAGTCTGTGTCACCGTTTCACTGAACTGTGTTCAGTTTTCAGGAGCTCTTAGTCAATTATTAACCATTAACTATAAGCCAGACATAATGACCAGAATCCTGATATTTTTKATTAACATTGTTTTGCACAGGCAAAGGCCTGCGGCCCATTGAAAACAGGTCCACGACTCACTTTGGAGTCACTACCCACCAGTTGAGAACCACTTGCCTAATCAAACCTCCGAAGATTTTCCATTTCATGAGAAAAGTGTTAACTTTTAAAATGTATTTTGGGTAATAAAGGTACCAAATTCTGRCAAACAACACAAATGTTATGATGAATAATTGTTCAAATTGTTCTCTTCTTTTTGAAAAGTGGAACTGCTGTGACGGTACAGATAGATGATTGTAACATGTTGTTCTCTTCTCCGATGGAGGGAACGGGAGGTAAAATGTTTCAGCAGCATTTCTTTGCCTCTGTCTGTGAACAGTTCCCAGGTTCCTGTTGTCCCTGGTTCTGATGGCACCTGGTGCCCGGGCCTGTTTGATGCTGCTGATGGATTAGAGCTTTGGCGTTAATGTTTAGTGTATCAGAGTTGGTGGAAGTGTTCGTCTGCTCAGTCTGACTGGAGGCAGAGCTGCTGTCACGTCATGCCAAACACAGCTGATGAGAAACAGGTAAACGCACGAAGACCAAAGGCTCCGTCTGGTCAGGTTCTCTTTTTTTATTATCACTTTTTTATTAAATCTGAAAGCGACTTAATCCACTCTGATCTCTAGATGTTACTCCAGTAGATCCATCTTTGTGCCTATTTTGAATTTTGAATTCACGGGACAGTAAAATAATTTATGTATTTTATTAAGAATCATCTTAATTTATCAGATGGTTGAAAGATTATCTTTTTAGGTGAAAATTGTTGTTTTTTTATTATTTTGTTTGTTGGTTTATTTATTGTCAACTACCGCCGTAATGCAAAAGCAAATGATAACATTTTTTACTCATAACTCTGTGCCTTTTAGTAAAATAYATCACAAACTTCTGGACAGATTTTATTAAAATTCTCAGACAGTAATCATTAAATGTTAATCTAGAATTGATTAATTTTTGGAGTCAACCCAATTCAAGATGGCCGCCACAGCTGAGTGACTGCAGCCACCAAAATGGCTATGATTCCTTCAATTTTACAGATACTGAGCTACAATTTGATGCAGTTATAGCTGCACATACTCTGAGCACCTCTTTAAAGATTTAAGCCCTTGAGACTAAAGGAAATATTTGTTTGTTAATAAATATTGCRCAAGGTTTTATTAACCCCTAAACTAATATTAGCCTATAATTGTCTTTTTTGTTCATATTTTATGTCATTTGATGCTGTTTAAGAACTCTTCCATAGCTCTGATTTAAAGTTAAAGGGGATTTGATCAGATGATGTTCTGATAAGTAAATATAGTTTCCAGCGGGAAGCATTTATCTCACAGCTTGAGTTTCGGGATAGTCTGCAGACTGTGATTTTAGACGCAACATGATGAGCTCATAAAATGTGATACATTGCTTTAATGCCACCGAGATTTAAAGAAATGTATTAATAATTTTAATGAATTTGTTTGCCTGCTGCATGGAAGTCCTGGAAGGACATGGAAGGATAGGAGGGTCAAAGATTAGTTTTTTTTTTTTTTTTTTGCAACCAACTTACTGAGATTTAATAAACTCAGTAAAGAATTATGAAATTTAGAATTTGAAAAGCCTAAATTAAATGTTCTTTTCTTAACCAGTTAAATCTTTACAGTACAACATAAAACTGTAAAATTCAAAATTAAGGTTTGCTTTTTCATATGTAAGTGGTTGTTTTGTTGTTAAAGTGAGGACCGGTGTAATGACCTGTTAGGGAAGCAGTTTGTTTGTGGTGTTTAGAGAGATTTAAAATAACTCACCAGACGATTTAGATGCATTAAAGGTTTTCAAAAGCCTCCAGCTGTAACTGCATGGCCACCTGCTATGTGATGCATTCATGTATTAATTATAAACTTCTATATTAGTCACTTTGTCATGTGGTTGCAGGGAGTCGGTTGTAACAGCAGGACTGGTGAAGGTTGGGGGTTTTTTCTGTGCAACTAAAAGTTATGTTAATGTGTCAGGCTGTAAATATTTACAGCAGATGAGGTCGCAGTTCATTTCTGTGCCTTTATTTCGTGACTTCCCAGGAAAATTGATGTGCTGGAAGCTGAGCTTGCACCGTGCAGGGCCTCGTAGTTTGAGGCGTGAGCTCTGCTTTCCTGTGTGAACATGAGACAGAAATGCGCRGCAGCCGGCTCTCCTTATAACCGAGCTCGTGTGGCGGGACGCATGTGATCTGTAGGGTTTGGGTTGCTGCACCCGGGATCTGCAGATTTTTACAGCTTCTGTAGTTTTTAATGAGAACGGTGCAAACTGATCGTGAGGTGTCGTGTTTTCTGACCCTGTGTTTGGCAGAGTGTGTGTGTGTGTGTGTGTGTGTGTGTGTGTGTGTGTGTGTGTGTGTGTGTGTGTGTGTGT